GTTGGATTTGTGGTGGGAGAGAGACTCCGTCGCCGAGTACTGTCGTTCACCCCGGTGGACGAGCGTCTAGCCATAATCCGCATCAAAGCGAGATTCCTCAACATCTCGCTCATCTGCGCCAATGCCCGACGGAAGAAAAGGATGAGGCATCCAAGGATCTCTTCTATGAGCGCTTGGAGCGCACGTACGAGCGCTGCCCCCGTCTTGATATCAAAATCGTGCTTGGCGGCTTCAATGCCAGGGTGGGCAAGGAAGGGATCTTTAGAACCACCGTCGGAAAATACAGCCTCCACGACGAAACGTCCGACAACGGATTGAGGCTGATCGACTTCGCCGGGGCCCGAAACATGGTAGTATGCAGTACTAGGTTCCAGCATAAGAAAATCAAGCTACGCATCAAGCTACGTGGCTGTCTCTGGATCGAAAAACGAGTAACCAAATCGGTCATGTTGTGATAGACGGAAGGCACGCTTCCAGTGGCGCAAACATCGACTCGGACCACTATCTTGTTGCAGCCAAGATACGCACCCGCCTCTGTGCAGCAAAAAATGTGCGCCCAAATATGCAAGGAAAGCTTAACGTCGAAAAGCTGCAATCACAACAGACAGCCAGCGCTTTCGCTACTCGACTCTCACACCTGCTCTCAGAGGGCAATCTTCAACAAACCGACATATGCGAGCAGTGGAACCCGCTCATTAAGTGCCGCCGCCGAAGAAATCGTCGANGTTACTTTACTCAAGAGTTTCCTTCGATTCTGACTAGGAGCTCCTACATTTGCCATTAACCTAGCTAAAGAACTGTGGACTGTAGCCGCTTTCTTGCTAACCGTTTCAATGTGTATTTTGTATGACAACCTAGCGTCTATCATCACACCTAAGTATCTTACTGCTGGNGGCCGCTATAGGGATCTGAAGAGGGAAGCGAGACGTATTTGCCGCAATAAGAAGAGAGAGGCCGAAATACCTGAGTGCGAAGAGCTTGAAATGATGGCCGACAGGAGGAATGCCCGAAATTTTTACCAGAGAGTTCGGCGACTTACGGGNGCTCAAATACATACCCATTTACATTCAAAGTCGTACTTTCTTTCTTCTTCGTGCTTGTTATAAGTACACCTTCAGTTTTCTGGATAGCTAGCCCAAGGATACTCATCAATCAAGTTCCTTGAAACAATCTCTTTTGCTAGTTTTTATAGCATCTTTTAATTTCTTTCGCCATGATTTAAAACTATCCCTTAGTTCATCCGACCTTATTCTTTGGAATTTTCTTCAGCTTTATTGCATTGTGGCCGGTCGCTATATAAACGTGTATTTGGTTGCGAAAC